CACAGCACTCAACATTTTATTTGGTTAACTGTATACTTACTTGCTTATTGCTACTTTCATCTAGGATGGATAAATATGAATTATAGGAGCTAAATGATGTAAAACTTCCAACATAAGTAGTAAAATTTGCCCACAATATACAGCACCCTAATAAGACAAAGGATATCTACAACACAAACCTTACAATTACTATCATGCTTGGTAGTAAACTGTGAATGCTTCTTCCTGAATTTGGGGACAAAATAAAGATGTCCACTATCATCACTTCTATTCAACACTGGATTGGAGAGCCTAGTCAATGCAATAAAGAAAAAGTAATAACATATATAAAGATCAGGAAATAAGAAATAAAAACTTATTATTCACAGATGACAGACATGATAGTGTATAAACTATAAATGCAAAAAAAAAAAAAAATCTACAAATTCTTTCAAAAGAATCAAGACTGTCCAAACTATTAAGTGAATTCAGCAGAATTTTTGGATAAAATGACAAAAGACAAATATCAACTGTGTTTCTCTAAAAGCCACAAAGAATTGGAAAATAAAATTTAACAAAAAATGCAATTAAAATATATCATCAAAAAAATCAAATGCATAGTAACAAATCTACTAAAAGATATGCAAGACTTCTACAGTAAAAACAAAACACTGCTAAGAAAAATTAAAGACTTAAATAGATAGTTATACCATGTTCAAGGAAGAATTAATATTGTTAAGATAGTAGTTGTTCCTAAATTGGTCCATAGATCCAATATCTCAATCAAAATGAAGCAGATTTTTTGTTAGAAATGGGCAAGCTGATTCTAAAATTCAGCTAGAAACGCAAGAGGCCCAGAGTAGTCAAGGTGAAGTTAAAAATATCACGATTTACCATAAAGCTACAATAATCAAAACTAGTAACAAACTAGACCAACGTAACAAAACAGAACGACTACAAACTAACCAATACAGTTATCAGTTTCGTAAGAAGGCATTACTGTAATTTAGTGGGGATAGGTTGGTCTTTGTAATAAATAACATTGGTACAATTAGATATCTACATGGAATGTAGGACCCTCTCTCACACAATACACAAAAATTAATTTGAAATGGATCATAACAAACATAAATAAGAAAGATAAAACAACAAAGCTTCTAAAAGAAAACACAGAATAGTATCTTCAAAACCTTGGGGCAGGCAAGATTCTTCAAGAGAACACAAAAAGCAGCAAACATAAAAGAAAAGACTGACTTATGAGACTTGACTTCATTAAATTTAAGAACTTCTGTTCATTAAAACACACACACACACACACACACACACACACACACACACACACAAAACCAGGTATTAAGGAGTAAAATGGCAAGCCGTGGCTGAAGGAAGACATTTGCAACATGCATATCCCCAAAATGAATCTACCTGCAATACATAAGAAATCATAAATAAATTTTAAAAACACATATAACCCAACATAAAAACAGGCAACAGATTTGAACAGTCACTTCACAAAAGAAGACACATAAAAATTTACTTAACATCATTCAACATGGACAAATGCAAATTAAAACCACCATGAGACAGCACTAGATAACCATCAAAGTGGCAAAAATAAGACAGATAATGCCAAGTATTAGCAAAAATGTAGAGCAACTCGATCTCACATCCAGTTGGATTTCACTTTAGAAAATGTTTTGGCAATTTTTCATGAAGTAAAACTGTATGCCTATGCTACAATCCAGCAATTCCACTCCTAAGTATTTACTCAAAAGAAATAAAAACATAATCTTAAAAAAAGACCTGTACAAAAATATTCACAGTAGCTACCCTGTAACAGCTAAAACAAGACAATTCACTGCTCATCAACAATAGAATGGATAAATGGTGACCCATTCATATAAGGAAACACTACACAGTATTAATACAATATGAACTACTATTCCATGCAACAAAGCAAATGTAATGATGACTAAAGAAACCAGACACATGACATTCCCTGTTTTTCTTTTCTTTTGAGACAGGGTGTCACTCTGTCACTCAGGCTGGAGTGCAGTGGCACAATCAGAACTCACTGCAGCCTCAACCTCCCAGGCTCAAGTGATCATCCTGCCTCAGCCTCCCAAGCAGCTGGGACTATTGGTATGCACCACCATGCCTGGTGAATTTCTTTATATTTTTAATAGAGATGAGGTTTCGCCACATTGCCCAAGGTGGTCTTAAACTCCTGGGCTCAAGTGATCCGCCTGCCTCAGCCTCCCAAAGTGCTGAGATTACAGGTATGAGCCACCGCGTCTGGCCCACATATGATTCCTTTTATAAAATACGAGGTAGTGACTGGAAAAGGCAAAATCAAGTCCTCTGGTGTGCTGGCAATGTTCTATATCTTGATTTTGTTAGTAGTTACACCAATGTATTAACATATTAATAATTCAACAAGCTGTACACTTAAAATATATGCACTGCACTTTATTATAAAGTTACACCTCAATTGTTTTTAAAAATTTAAATCTTTTACACAAAATTAGGTCAAAAGGTATAGTCAAACCTAATGTTTTCAGGAATAATCCTTCATGTCTGATTTTAATAAGAAAACTCTCTAGCAAGATATAATAAATATAAAAATTGAAGTATAAGAATATACATAGTAGTATCTGGTCTAATTTTTATGGTATTGAAAAGTCAGTCCAAAATTTATAAAATTTATAAATTTGTCATGTTTCTAACACACACAAAAAAGAAAGTTATTCTATGTCCTTAAAAAAGGTACTTGAACATTAATGATTTTTTTCACAGTAGTTCCAAAGTTTAGATTTTACGGCTCCCCTTTATCAAAATATAAATAAAAAAGAAATCACCAAAACAAAATATAAGTTCCTGCTTCTATGACAATTTAGTACATTCTAAAGAGCATCCCTTTGGCAAATCATTTATCTTCATCCATAAAGTGCAGAAAGCGAGATTACCTCTAAAGGCTATTTTTAATGTTCAAGGATTCTATGATTCTGACATTCAACTAATTAAAAACTCTGATTAGTTTCCCGAAATACCTGCCAAAACAGAAGTCTTTTGTGTGACATTCAATCTTAAATCAATACTATATTCATATTTACCCTTTTCCAATCTTTTCTCACATTGGCCCTATATAAAGCCCATGCAATTTCCTTTCTCCTTATTTTTGTTAATGTGATGTCCTCCATATAAAACATCCCTCTCCCAGCTGAGTGTGGTGGCTCATGCCTGTAATCCCAGCACTTTGGGAGGTCGAGGCAGGAGGATCACTTGAGGCCAGGAGTTAAAGACCTGCCTGGACAACATACTGAGACCCTGTCTCTAATATTAAAAAAAAAAAAAAGAAAAATCTTAGCCAGGCTCCTGCTTGAGCCCAGGAGTTGCCACTGCAGTGAGCCATGATCATTCCCCTGCACTCCAATGTGGGCAACAGAGTAAGACTCTGTCTCAAAGAAAAAAAAAGAAAGAAAAAAAAAATCCCTCTTCTAAAGCTTTATATTTGCCTAACAAAATCTTTGTCATCTCTAAATATACTCATACATTAAAATATTCATTATGCATCTTCTCCATGTAAGGCAAGAAACTAGACAATAGACTGAGGACAAAGAAACAGGCCATGGTTCCACCAATAATGTGGACATGTGAAAAAGACTAACCCTGGCTGGGTGCGGTGACTCACGCCTGTTATCCCAGCACTTTGGGAGGCCGAGGTGGGTGGATCACCTGAGGTCAGGAGTCCAAGACCAGCGTGGCCAACATGGTGAAATCCCATCTCTACTAAAATACAAAAATTAGCTGGGCATGATGGTGGGTGCCTGTAATCCCAGCTACTTGGGAGACTGAGACAGGAGAATTGCTTGAAACTAGGAGACGGTGGTTGCAGTGAGCTGAGATTGCGCCACTGCACTCCAGCCTGGGCAGCTGAGCGAGACTCCGTCTCAAAAAAACAAACAAACAAAACAAAGAGTAACCCTAATACAAGTTAGAAACAAATAATTGGCAAAAAGGCCAATTTATATTGTCATAGTAAAAACAAAATAAATAAGCCTTAGACCTAGCTGCAACTCCCAACCCTTTCAATTTTCCCTATTTTATTCTGAAATAGTCTTCTCTCAACTGTTCCGTATCACTATAAGACTTTTATATCACTTACTCATAATACCATTTATATATCTGTATTATTCCCCCAATATATATAAAACTTAAAAAAGACTTTTTCCTGTATACTTTTCATATCCACTAAATTTTTTAAGCACTAAATACATTCAAGTAATAATTTTAAAAACTACTTGCCAAAAGTGAAGATCTCCCATATTTTATCTGATAATAATTATGGCCAAAGAGATTATAATTAAGTAAAAATTAAAAGAATTTGCACCTCACTGGAAATTTCTAAGGCAAATTTTATGGAAAGTTAACCAAGAGTTAGGTTCCTTGAAAAACTGAATTTATTCTTCTAAACTTTTTCATAAAGGGAAAAAATTGACTTATTTTCCCTTTAAAAAGTTTCCCAAAACACTCTTATATTAACCTGAAATATATAAGCTTTGATACTTTATCATATACCTACAAAAACAAAAATATAAAACTTAAATTACCCTCTGCCTAAAACACTCAATCATTCCATGTCCACAGAACAGTATTTCTGAGTGTATCTGTCTTGTAGCTGACAAAGTCTGAGCTATGTGACACATTTCTATAATAGTAGTGCTGCAGAAAGATTAATATCCATTTTTTACATTTAACCTATTAACAACTATTTGTATTTTATTATGCTGTATATAGTTATAGTCTAGAAGGATGTGACTATTTGATTACATAATCAAATTTATATAAGCACCATAATCTAGTATGAATTAGCTTGCTATCTGAATATTTCAAAACACTACCATTTAAAAATAGCTAAAGTTTTTCCATCAAGCATTTCAAAAACTTAAATTCACAGCCTTATGTAAGATACAATTCAAAATCTATCTCACCATTTTACTCTGAATAAACTCATACTGTACCTGGTTACTACCATGGCCAAAAGGAGTACTAGATAAATTAGTGGTTACACTGTGCAAAATAATTTCACCACTAAGAGATCCAGAAGCAATGTAGCAATCATTCCAATTGTATGTTACACAAGTTACTTCATCTTTATGATCCTGAAAGAGAGAAATGAAAGTAAGTACGCTGCCCCATAACCCTCGAACAGCCCATTTTCATGTTTCTGTAAATACCATATATTATGTACTTATCAATCTAATATTTGCTTTAACATTTTCCTCAAATACACAGAGAATTATTTTCAATAATGATAAAAATGGTCCAGGCACTTTACAAAAGAGAGAGAGACATTATGGAAAGGTAATTTTCTACATGGCATTATGTCTACTTTAAAGAATTCACTTCCTCAGACAAATAACAGGTATTGCAAGTTGACTACTTTGATTTCCTGCTTTAACATGAAAATGGCAGAGAATATGCTAAATGAATGATGGAGGCAAAGTGTCAGAGGAAAGAGAAAGAGCTACTGTGAATGAAGTTGGCAGAGGAAGCTTTATGGAAGACATAAAGCTGGAGTTCAACCTTAAAGAAAAGAGAAAAATCATGGGAAGGGGAAAGAAACCAGACATTGCAAAACGGAGGAGTGGGAAGAACAAATGAGCAAGGCATCTGTGAGATAACAGCAGCTGCTTCCATTTGCTCAGAACCTACTAGTGCTAGGAGCTTTATATATTATTTAATGCTTAGAAAAGCCTGAGGGGCAAGGTTATTTTGCCCATTTTATAAACGAAGTACATGAGACACAGAGAGGTTAAGAAACCCATGCAAGCTCACATAACCGCTAAGTGACCAGGATTCAACTCCATGTCAAACTCCAAAGCCTCTGTTCCTTCCACTATACCAGGCTGCCTCTCAAATCCAATTAGGAATACACTTTGAGGAAATAAAACTTTCAGGTTTTAAACAAACTGAGTTCACAAGGACTATGTTTTCCAACATCAAATTAGAGATGTCTAGCAGGAGCAGAGAAAAGTTATCAAAATTGGGAGAAGAGTTTTTAACAGGAAGATGCCATATCTCAATAATACCAACAAACTAAGCCCTGTATCTAATAATTATTTATGTAATGGCAAGAATAATAGCTATGATATTCCACTTACAACTCTTTCAAGTGGTCCTTCAAGTATTTTCAGAGATTTCTTTACCTTTTATTCCATTTCTAAAACCAAGGAACACTTGCTATCTTGAGGAAAAAATGTTTGATGAAAAGAAAAAAGGAAGAGCAGACATTTTGGGTATCGTTCCCGTTTGGGAAATTAAGAACATGTGGTCCAATGTAATTTATATGACTTTAGAAAGAGGCAAGTGTCTTCCTAATTTCAACTGTGGAAAGTAAGTCATCATTCAGCAAACATTTACTAAGAACCTACCAAGTGCCAGAGATTGTGTTAATCACCAGGGAGAGGACTGTAGAGATTCAAAGGTAAAACATTAGATTTCCCACTATCACAATTAGTCAAAATATTCATTAACAGAATGAATGAGGGAGCTAAACATTACGAATTTCACACCAAAAAGACAGAAAACCATCCAGAGTAATTGGGAAAGCTGAAAATGGAAAAGTGTATCAAATTTTGCCATGCAGGGATGGGGTAAGCGAAGCTTACATGGGTGATGGGTTAAAGAAAGCTCTTCCCCTGTGTATGTGTCTAGATATATGTTTATATTTTTCATATTAAAACCTTTTTAAAAGACAAAAATTAAATTTAAGATCAACTTCTAAATATTAAAAAGACAGTATAATGAAAAGTAGAATTCCAAAAATATAACCAGAGACTATGTTGTGCTAAATATTTTTATTTTCTGAAACTACCAAAAGCTAATTATTAAAGAAACATTAATTGTAAATAGTAAATTAGTTTACAAAATATTACCAAGTTAAAAATACAAACAGATAAAAAAAATAACACAAACAAGAGCAGCCAAATATACTACATAACTAAAAAGCTGACCCCCCAACTCTGATTACTATATTGAATACTATCATCCCAAAACAACTCTCATTTTTTCCAGCTTGCCCTAAGGAAAGATCCCTGATGACCACAAACCATAGTTTAGAAAAAAATGAGTGAAGTGGTTCATTCAAATAAGAGTAGAACTAAATGAAAAAACAAGAAAAAAGTTTTAAATGTTGATCATATGCATTAATTCTACACATGGAAGAAAAAAGACATAAAAACAAGTTTCCAGCTAAATAGCACCTTTATTTTCCCTAACAATTCTGAAGCCCCTTATTTTTATCATAAAAGCTCAAAAATAAAAGCTTGGTAAGTACTCTAAATGCATTAAGATATCCATTTTTTTGTAAAGTTTTTTTTTAATTGCTTACCTTAAGAGATCGATGAATTCTTTTTGATTTTAAATCCCAAATATTAACAATGTTATTTAGGCCTCCGCTTACTAAATACATAGATGTAGAATTTAAGTTGACACATGTCTGCTTTTGCTATTTAAAAAAAATGAAAATAAAAGTTACCTTAATTTAACAGAGCTCAGAGTTGACTTTCAGGTCTCATCCAACACTCAATAAGCATGTGATAAATATTTGTTAAATACTATAAACATGCTAATCTTGTACTAAAGAGCCACTCTCTCATTGTCTTTCTTCCACATGGATCCAACAGCTTTTAAGGGGGTCAAAAATGCTTCAAGGAAATCAAATAGATGTGCGTTCACTTCTGTGGACCGGTGACAACACAGGAAGCTTAGGAGACATTGGCAGTCCTGGTCTCCCATCACAGCTTGTTTGCCCATCCTATCTCCCCTTGATAAAGCCTGCTCTTGTATTTCCACAGAATATCCTACATTAAAATCAATCCCCAGCTCAGAAATGCTAAAAATAGAAGAGACTTTAAAGAATTTCCAGTGTAGAGTCCTCATTTTACCGATGGGGTCAGTTTTTTAAAAGAAGTCAAGATACTTGCCCTAAGTCTCCCAGCAAATCCCCCTGTTAAGGAGACCAAGTCTCAGACATCAGGTCATCAAAGTCCAACCTCACTTGCTCCCCATCTCTGTAAAGACACCATCCAGTTTCTCAAGACAAAAACCCAGAATAACCCTTGATTTCTTGTTCTCCCTCCCCTCCAATCTATCAGTAAGCTCTCTAAACTCCAACCCAAAAATGAATCCCACATGGGCTCCCTTTATCTATAGCTACTACTAACACTAACCCAAACCTTGCCAAACTACGACAGCAGCTTCCTAACTGGTTTCCCTGTTTCCACTCCTGCTTTCCTATATTCTGTTCTTCATAAGTAGGGTGGACTTTACAAATGTAAATCAGATCATGTCTCCTTCCTGTTTAAAAATCTTCAACGGCTTCCAATCACACCACGAATAAACTCCAAACATTTACCTGGCTTTTGAAGTCCTATTATCTGGGCCCTACGTCATCTGTTACAATTTTCTTCCTCATCCACTAATTCTCCAGCCATACTGACCTTCCATTCCTTAAATATACAACCCTATATTTGCCTCAAGGCTTCTACACAGCTATTCTCCTTGCCTAGAAAGCTAAATTCTCTGAACCTTGTTTGGAAGACCTTCTGGTCAACAGATCAACTTAAGAGCCACCACACTTCAAGGGAACTCCACTGGCTACTTAATGTAACTTGCTACTGCAATATCTTATTTTAGTTATCCGCATGATAACTTATCAATATCTGGGTATTTTTTGTTTACTAGTTTACTGCCTGTCCCTTGCCAGAATGTCAGTTTCACTAGCACAAAGCTATATCCATGCTCGATCTTTATAGAATGGCTAAAATACAGATGTTATCAAGTTCTTCTCAATGAGTATCTTTGAGTGTCACCAATCTGGTGGTGCCATCAGTAACTACGCTACACAGAACACAATGGTGCATTTTTTTCCTATGTAACCTTCAGATGCACTACCAAGCTACATTAGTTGTAACTTCCACAGTGCATCCTTGGATTCTTCAAATTCAAAGGGGACATTTTATGACTTCGCTAAAAGTTAAAAGGCAAGCTATGTAGGTTTAGGCAAAATCATCTCACCTTTCTGAGCCTGTGTTTCTGCATTTGAGAAACGAAAGGTTTGAAGACGAGATCTACTGTTCTTACTTTGAGAGTCTATGCTTCTCAGAAATATCCTCTGCTCGAAAGAGATTCTTTAAAGGGTACAGATGGTCCCCTTCCTCTAGCCCTTCTCCCCCACTGCATGTTTAAGTACTATAAACATGCTAATCTTGTACTAAAGAGCCACTCTCTCACTGTCTTTCTTCCACATGGATCCAGCAGCTTTTAAGGGGGTCAAAAATGCTTCAAGGAAATCAAATAGATTTGTGTTCACTTCTGTGGACTCCAGGGTTCCTTCTAGCTCTGAAATTTTGACCAAGAGTATCAACTAACATATAAAAATAGCAAGATGCACACAACATCAATGTTTCAGTACAGTTGCTATAATTCTCCTGCAAATACCATTCTAGGAATTGACTTTGGTGGAGGGAGACTAAGAAGATTTAAAATCTGGTTGTCACTGCAAATCAGGAGAATTTGCTAAGAACTATCAAAACAGCCTTTAAATAAAATAGAAAAAGATGGTGTCCACTGAAGATCAATGTATTGGGACTCCAATCATCACAACAACTACAATTACTCTTAAGGGCTCAAAATAAAACTTATATTTAGAGCTGGCTAACCCTGATGATAGGTCTTTTTTAATGATAGTGTATTATTAATGCAACTAATGAACTTAAATAATTAATGGAAATTGTGTGGTTATTACAGGAATCCTGTACTGCTCAAGGTGCAAGGCAAAGGTACATTCTACTTTAAAGAGGTGAAATACAAAATCAAAGAAAATAAATATGAATTTAAAGTTCCACTCTAAAATTTTTAAATGAGTAGGATCATAATTTATTTTCTCAAGTAGAAAAGGTCTAATGCCTCAAACAATACACGAGTAAGAGGATTTGGAAGTTACAAAAAGGTTATTAGCACATAAATATGTTACTTTAAACATTACTAGTAAAAGCTAAAAAACCAATGTTTGCAAATATTTTTATAGCTAAATTAAAACAGACTGAAAATTTGAACTCAACTAATCTTACTTTTATTTATCAGCATTATGATATGATTTGTTAACTATGGGAAAGAGGGCTAAGAATCATAGCAACTAATTTGGAATATTCACAAAACTCTTAGAATTATGTAACACTTGTAAATACCATCTGTTATTTTTATACTTAAAAAATAAGGCTCCCAAACACCGATTCACTGATTCTAAGGCATAATGCATAACAGTAGTACATATATATAGTGGTAGAGTAGAAGTTAAAGTGGTTTTGACGTTGACATTAACAAGTGTTTTTTGAACATCTTAGGATACAAAGATCCAAAGATGGTTAAGATGTTTTGCCTGCTCTTGAAGACTTCAGTCTGCCTTTTATCGACCAGGGACATTCTATGCCTTGATTTCGCTTAAGTCAGGTTAAACAGAGTGCCTCAAACTCCATTTCTACTGTTAGCAGATGTTCTCTCTGTCCCAGTCTCCAACATCTGTGGGTTAGAACTGAAGTTCAGGTCAATCCCACTGGATACCTTTAGGAGAGGATTGATAAAAATCATGAGTCCTCTTTAAATTAGTTGAGCTTTTATTCAATTGTCCTGCTGTTTTCTTTCTAATTGGGCTACCTTACCTATCCCAGTGTGTAAAATTATGACAATCCATAATAATTTAAGATTTGCTATGAAAACTTTGAAACAAACAAACAAAAAACAAGCTATCAACTACTCATACCTTTTTATTCAAATCTTATTCTATTTAAAAAAGAAATAGCTTTCAAGGAATGTGACTGGAAATGAAGAAGCCAGTATTATCCTCAATCAGAGGGATTAACTTATAAAACAAAAGGATAGGCTGCCACGCCTGTAATCCCAGCACTTTGGGAGGCAGAGGCGGGAGGATCACAAGGTCAGGAGTTCATGACGGGCCTGGCCAACATGATGAAACCCCGTCTCTACTAAAAATACAAAAATTAGCCAGGTATGGTGGTGGGCACCTATAATCCCTGCTACTTGGGAGGCTGAGGCAGGAGAATTGCTTGAACTCGGGAGGCGGAGGTTGCAGTGAGCCAAGATTGAGCCATTGCACTCCAGCCTGGGCAACAGAGTGAGATTCCATCTCAAAAAAAAAAACAACAAAACAAAAGGATAAGGCAACATATGCAGTGACAGCTTCATTTAAATGCCCTAGGACCTAAGCCCACTTTGACAAAAAAAAACCTGTTTAAGGAGCGCATGGGGAGGCTCAGACAGGCCCCTCAGTACAGGTGGACAGAATCTGAAGCAGAGGGCTATCATTAGCTATGAGTCTGTTCCTGATGGTCCTGAGCTCAAGATCAGTAAACTAGTGCCGTGTCATTAGAGTTCATCTGCTCAGGTCAACCTAGTAACCTGTGTGGGACACTGTCCTAAAATAGCAGCAACAGGAATCCTCTCCCACAGAAGGAAAATGAAGAAACGAAGGGCCTAGTTAACAAAATTCAAGTCTTCAATTGTTCCCCTAATATTCAAAACTATTTTACCTAAAAATACCTCAGTAAGTACACATATCTCATTTTTAAGTGTTACTGTATTATTTTGAGCTTAAGTTAAAAATGATGCTTTTAAAAACCTTTATATTTAGTTGCAAGCACCACAATAAACAAGCAATTGCCAGTCAAGCAAAACTAAGATTTTTAACAGTTTAAAAAAAAAATCACTTACCCCTTCAGCAAGCTCTAAAAGTGGAACAGGTTTACATTTGCAACTTGAGACAACTATTTTGTCGCCACTGGAAGATGCTGTTACTAAAAAGTTATCTAAATGAAGAGTTATGGAGCATCAAACAATCCATGAACATCTATAGCACTAGAGACTATTATAAGAATTGCAATTATAAAAGCAAACACACTAAGACAATGAATGAGTAAAGCTTATAGAGTAGCTTTCAAAAATAGCTCACATTACTATTAATAATTACTAAGACTAATTCTCTTTGCTACTACTGCAGGGAAGAACTAGCCTTCCTTCTGGCTCTGCTATCACTCAAAAGCTATTTAACCCATGTGAAATACTACTCTGTTTTCAAAGAGTAGGCCAGAAGGGCTAATTTTATCCTTCAAGAATGAGAGCACGATAAAAGCAGCATCAGCAAATATCAATCAACCTTTTCATCTACAGAAACTGTTCAAGATATTTATTAACCTAGTGCTTGGTACCAATCTAAACTAGGAAGCAAACATCCACACTAGTCCCCTATTTTTCTATTTTTTTAAAAAAAGACCTGATATTTTCCCAGAACATGAATTTTTGTGAAAGAATGTTCCAATTTTAAATTAAGAATGAATATTATAGTAACCTGCAAACATTTTACAAATATGTATGGTTAAATAGGAATTGTTTGTGTCATGAGTTTTAATTTTTAAATAAAATTTAATTGAATCTTAATTTAAAATTTTATTTACCTTCTTTTACATGAATCATAAGTGGAACAATCAGTAAACACAAAACAGTAAGTATTTTAAAACTAAAATGATTAAATACAACAATATAACCAAGAATAAGAGTCTGATTTTGAGAGTCATAACAAATTAAAATATCAGAAGTTTAAATCTGTGCTTTTTAGCAATTAAAATGTGAGTAAAAACAATGGAGAAAGGTTAATTAGACACTCAGAATCCCTAACTGCATTAACTTTTGAATGTTCTGCATAACTTTCAGGTATTTTGCAAACAGAGCATGGACTGTAATTTTATTACGATACATGATGCAAATCAAATCATTTCTACCTAGATATTACCATAGTGAGAAAAACCATTTCCCTTTCCTTGACTTCTTCCTATGTTTACCACTACTTTTCTCCTTAGAATATAGAAAAAAAAAAGAACTGAAACATAATGTGGGTGGGTAACCTAGTTACTTTTGTATTTCTCTTGTAGTTTTAGAAATCATGAGAAAGTGAGGAACATAAGCTAAACGACAAAAAACAAAAAACTAATCTCTCTGGCGTCTCACATTAACCCCATTCTTGGAATCTATGCTATGTGGACCCCAAGTTGCTAAGGCTGGGAACTCTTTGATCTTCAGTAATTAACCTCCATGGAAGTGATCAAAGCCTTATTAAGAGTAAGACTGTATGAAGGCTTTCAGTGCACATCTGCTCACGCAAGAAAACGATAAGACCAATTTCCAAAAGTCATACAACACTATCTCATAGCTACATCAGTTTTGTTGTTAGACTATTAAGTAGCACATTAGTAAATGCCAACTCTTAGTAAAACTCCTTAAAACAAAAGTCAACCAAAAAATAATCTTACTACAAATTGCTACTTTTATATAATAAGAGGGAAAATTAAGCTCTAAACATAATGAAAATCTAAAAATAGAGAACAGCAACTTCACACACTTGTCGCTCTCTTTAAAATATTTTCCCTACTAAATATCTGGAAAGTCCTTCAAAAATGTAGTCATTTCACCATGAGTTTGATTAACAGAGTACCAAAATAATTTGTTGTACTGCTTTAATACAAAATATAGGAATGATAAGGAGGTAAATTTAATTCAGTAAGAAAATTTGTCCTTCTTGTTATAGACAAGCAAGAATAGTAAGGCTCATATAAAACTTTTAATATTTTTGTTCCTGAACCAGTCATATTTTAAAGCTTTGATTTTTTTTCCTTTCACCAGAAAGCAGAATTTAATACTTTGGTGTTGATAAAAATCAGACAAACGTTAAAAATTTGTTAAGAAATTGCATATGAGTTTCACAAAAGAAAATCTCTAACAGACCAATTATATAAAACATTTTCATATAAAAGGTGATAGGAGAACTGTGGTTACAGCAGTGGTTCTCTACTGGGAGTGATTCGGGTGATTCTGGAAACATTTCTGGTTGTGACAACTAGAAGCTATTAGTACCTAAGGAGAGAAGACCAATAAACCTTCTCCAGGTGGTACAACATACAGGAAAGATCCACAACAAATTTTCTGCCCCAAAAAGTCAATAGCGCAGGGTTCAAAAACCCTAGTTTACAGTCTTCACTCCCTCATTTTATTTTATCCACATTTAGGAGCTCACCAAGACAGGGGAGGTGTCAATCAGAAACATAAAAAGCTTAGAAAAATTCAATCTAGATAACTTTACTATGTCTGTTTAGGAAAAAAGTAGTTTTCATCACACACAGAGAGGAAGGAAGATATGGAGAGTACATCAGTAAGATGGAGATATTGGACAATTTTTTATCTCCTCCCAAACTTGCTTCCACCTTCATGTTCTGTCTTTCATTTTCAGTTCAGATCCACAAATACCCAAATGCAGATGCAAAAACTCATTCCAAAACCTTTTGGAATTATTTCCACAATTACCAATCTTATTCCATTTGGTTCATTAAGAAACTTTTCATAACTAATTCTATGGTGTAGACAGAATATACTTTTTTTAATAGCAATGTTTTCAAATGAAGTGAGTTGCAACTAAATTTTTTTTAAATGAACCCAGCACATAAAATCAGAGTGCATTCATATGATACATTGTTTTGTAAATTACTATTTTAGGTTATCTATCCTTGGTAGCAATGCAAAATACATTACTCAGTATGAGTCACATGCAAAAGTTTCATTGACAGTGGTTGTTTAACCTAATAAGTGGTTTGTGTGTGTGTGTGTTTTTTAAAGGATACTATTGCTGCTCCAACATACTGAGCTGATTCCATGTGGTGATGTGTGTGGGTTGAATTTATCCACCAATGTCATAGATGAAGCATCCCATATTTTGATATCATCTCCTGATGAAGCAAATCTGAGGTTTTCCTGCATGACTGCGCCTACAAATAGTTTAAAACAATATATTTTTAAAACATTTAAGAACAGACATACTCAAAAAAAGGTCAAAATCTAATCTAAAACAAGTGGCTCTAACTCATCCATTTTTGTTCCAAACAGTGCACTCACCAAAGTAGTTGAAGTGATCTTCCTAAAACAAAAGCCAGATCACATTCTCTCAGTTGACCATTCCAATGGCTCCTCACAGTAATGATAATGAAATTGAGCTTCCTTAGTCTGCCTTACATGTCCTGGCCCCCAGGTAACTCTCCTCTTTCTTTTCACTGGCCTTCTCTCTGCCTCATGCAAAGGCAAGGTTATTCTCACCTCAGTGTCTCTTCATTTGCTGCTCCGTGTGCCTAAGATGCTATCCCCAGATTCCCATGGTCCTCTCCTTCTCATCATTCAGGTCTTAACTCAAATGTTTCCTCCTATGAAAGGCCTTTCCTGACCACCCTGGCTAATGCAGCCCCTTCCTTACCTGGTAAGGGACTTACCAGTTTACTCTATATCCCAATACCTGATTTCATTTTTTTCATAGCACTTCCTACTATCTGAATTTTTTTTTTTTTTTTTTTTTTTTTGAGACGGAGTTTCACTCTTGTTGCCCAGGCTGGAGTGCCAGGGCGCGATCTCGGCTCACTGCAACTTCCACCTCCCAGGTTCAAGCGATTCTCCTGCCTCAGCCTCCTGCGTAGCTGGGATTACCGGCATGCACCACCACGCCTGGCTAATTTTGTATTTTTTAGTAGAGGCGGGGTTTCTCCATGTTGGTCAGGCTGGTCTCGAACTCCCGACCTCAGGTGATCTGTCCGCCTCAGCCTCCCAAGGTGTCAGGACCACAGGCATGAGCCACCGCGCCCAGCCACTATCTGAAATTTTTATTTGTTTTCATAATAATGTCTGTCTCCCCACACCAGAGTCTTGAAACATTCCTGGCACAAAACAGTTTCTCAACAAATAACTATTAATAAGTAACTTGCTAATTTTTAAAAAAACGTATGATAAAGTAGCATTTCTGCAGGTCAGAATCCATTCACACCATTTTACAAAACCCTAAAATTAGCAATATGGTCAAATGAGATGCCACTAAGTCCCCATACCAATTCTTGGACTACAATACCTTCAATGATTTATTCAGAGTATACAGTTGAAACATGTAATTCTAACAAGGTGATTTCACAAACCAAGGAAGTCTAGAAAACAGAAGGCAAGGAAGCTGCTCTAGGCAGGCACCTTAAAGAGCAACAGGTAGCAATGAACTGATAGGTGAGAAAAGGGAGGCTCAAAAGTACATGGGAGACAAGGAAAGCGGGAGTTCACAGAATTATACCTCCCACACCTTCCTAGTATGGAAAGTGCAAGACTACTACACAGCATTAGTGATGTCACAGACAGGTCCCCGAGTCATCAATACAACAGCACACCTACGTCTAGTATAAGCCATTTCAGAGGACAAGTTAAAGACATAATTATAGAAACGTTTCATTCTCGAGACAAAAAGTTAAGGTAATTCACTCATGTGCTTCCTTATGCTCATCTGACACAGTGCTACGAAAAGCCATTAAAGTCACCTGTCGAAATGTAACACAGTGTTTGGATTTGGAGCCTTAAACATGTGTAACACGTGCCCCGAACGAACTGCTGGAAAAGCGATCTCTAAGCCCTGTAAACACAACTGCAAGCTGTGTCTACCTGCATCTTACACCAGGCCTATTGAGCTGCGGGGTGTAGTGGGTAGATCACTGAGGCCAGGGCTCTGAAAAACTGGGTTCGAAAGACCCGCTCCAACTTAGGAGACATAATTCGCCGAGTGATTTAATGTTTGTTTCCCGCTCTTAAAGCGGGGCGGGGAAGAGGACTATCTGCCCACCTACTCCGGTCTTCTAAGAACTGAGCACATTTAAGGGAGAGACTTTACATCAGTCCCACAAAGAGGGTCCCATCGAAAGCGAGCAGTCAGGACAGAAGGCGGTAACGTCGGCCTGGGTT